TCCCCCTCTCATGCTCTCTCTCTCTCTCTCAAATAAATAAAATCTTTAAAAAAAAAAAAAAAAAAGAAGGCATTTCTGGATGGGTCTTCAGGGTAGGGGCCATGTTCTACAGGAGCTGTAGCAAAACCAACAGTGAGTGATAAATAACCTCACCATCTATCACATGCTTGTATTGATAGATCAGCAAGAGCTTGCAAGAGGTACAAATTAACTACAAAGGGTATTAGAGGATGAGTGTTTTACATTTCAGAAAACATGTTGACTATCCATTTGACTAACTTTTGGAGGGGCCACAAACCCCTTTGAGAATCTGACGAAAACCATGAATTCTCCCACCAAAAACATTCACATATGTAATCACATACTGTGGCTTTACTGAGGTATAAATAGATAAACAGAATTGTAGATATTTAAACTATACAATGCGACAATTTGACATATGTATACATTGTGAAATGATCACAATCTGATTAACAAATCCATCCTCATATGGTTACATTCTTTTGTGTGTGTTGAGAACACTTAAGATCTACTCTTTTAGCAAATTTCAAGTACACAAAACAGTATTGTTAACTATAGTCACTATGCTGTACATGACATCCTCAGAACTCACTCATCTTAAAAGTAAAGGCTTGCACCCTTTGACTGACATCTCCCCATTTCCCCCACCCCCAGTCCCTGACAACCACAGTTCTTCTCTGTTTCTATGGGCCTTCTTTCAACAGACATTTCTTGACCACCTGCTATATGGCAACTATTCAAACTATTACAATAGACAGATGGTACTTATTAGTGAATACCACAGGCCAAGGTCCCTACCCTCGGGGTTACATTCTAATTCTAATTTTAGATTGTGGCAAATGCTTTTAGAAACAGGTTGATGAGAGTTGGTGGGATAGTGCCTGGGGTGAGGGATTAAGTGGTCAGGAAAGACTTCTAAGATGACATTTCAGTTGAAATGTGAGTGAAGAGAGGGAGCAAGTCAAGCATAGAACAGTGCAGAAAGAAAAGCAAGGGCAAGGCCCTGAGGCCAGGAACCAGCTTAGCATGTTCAAGAAACGTCAAGAGGGCCTGTGTGGCAGGAATAGAGTGAGCTGTGAGGAAGGGACTAGGGACACCAGTGTCACGTGGCATGGAGAATGGGAATACAGCGAAGTAGCGGAAATATGAAGTCTCTGGTGACTGTTGTGAGGGCAGCAGCTAGTTTGGAAGAGTTTGAAAATAGATCTGCCTCACTTCTCTCCTGTATATTGCACAGGCCTCCTGATTTGTTGCCCTGACCTCAGCTTGTCTCCTCTCTAGCGCATGTCACTCTCTCTCCAAACCAGGACCTTTTAGCAGCCCTCCAGTACCCACACAACAAAATCCAGATACCTGGCACAGCTTTCAAGCCTTTGCACTGTTTGTGTCTACCACCCTCTCCCAGGTCATCTTCCCTACAACGCACGCATGCACACGCACTGTGTTCCCACCAAGTCCCGTGACTCACTTTTCCCCAAAATAAGCCCTGCTTTTTCACACCTTTGTGCCTTTGCTCGGGTCTTTAGCCTGGAATATCTTCCCCCTTCCCTAAATTCTACTCATCTTTCAAGACTAACTTAAATGCCACCTCCACTTTGAGGCCTTCCTTGATGCCATCTCAGCCTCCATTCAGGCACAGCCTGCGTCATACATGATCATCTTGTGCATTGCGTCAAAAACTTGTGTACGCACACATCTTCCCCACATGCTTGGACAAGTCTCAAAGACAGGGACTTGAGTGTAGTTATCCTCGTACCCCTCACTGCCCAGGACACTGTTGGCACACAGTACCATATTATTCCATAAGTATTTGCAAATTGAATTTCAGTGCAGAGAGATTATAAATTGGCAAAGACACAATACTTCTTGAAGTGATACCTGAAAAATTATGTAATATTTATTATAGGCTGATGAAAAATTCTAAGAAAATGCATATAGAACTATTGTAAACTGATTACAATGGGTTACTTTTTATATATAGGAGCAGATGTACTTTACCTATAACTATCAAATAATATAGTTAATATGAGGTCAAATCATATAGGAAATGTCAAAAAAATATAATAGGGTTCGAAGGCTGTGATCCTGTTAAGGAGGGAGCATTTTTTTTCTTTCAGAATGTTTGTTCATTCACTAAATAGTTCATACTACTTCATATATTTGAGTATTTTTTTACTTTGCAGTTTGAGATTAAAAAGTTGCATTCTGGACCTCCAAAAAATCCATTTAATGGATAAAGAAGATGTAGTATATATACAGTGGACTACTACTCAGCCATAAAAAGAATTAAATCTTACCATCTGTGGCAACATGGATAGACCCAGAGGGTATCATGCTAAGTGAGATAACTCGGAGAAAGACAAATACCATATGATAATATATATATATATATATCTCCTTAAAAAAAAAAAAACAAGACAAAACAGAAACAGAGTCATAGATACAGAGAACTGATGGTTGCCAAAGAGGATGGGGGTAGGGGGATAGACAAAATACATGAAGGGATTTAAGAGGTACAGTCTTCCAGTTATAAAATGAACTAAGTCATGGGGGTGAAAAGTACAGCACAGGGAATATAGTCAATAATATTGTAACAACTCTATATGGTGACAGATGCTGACTGGACTTATTGTGGTGACATTTCATAATGTATATAAATACTGAATCACTATCATATACACATGAAACTAACACAATATTGTATGTCAATTATTTTTAAATAAATAAATAAAAATTTAAAAATCCATTTGAACACACTGCCGCCTTTCAGGTTATTGTGGCATACCAACATTTCATCAGCAGATAACTTTAAAAATACATTAACATCTGTAGCCATGCTCTCTTAATGTGTTTGACTTAATTAGATCAAACCTGAAGATGTCATGAAAGCCTGGTGGCCAAGAGAAGAGCTGTAAGTAAATTTTGGGATGCTTGAATACAGATGTTAATTTATTAACAAATTTGCCTTTTGGGATAGGTGAGATTGGTAGGTAGGACAAATCCAGTTTTCCTATATATAATTTGGGACACAAAAATCATCTTTATCTTCTTCAGTCAAGAGATGAGCAACTGATATCAGACTACTACCGATGTACTTTGGCTTTTAAAATAAATAATTTGCAAACATCAATTTGAAGAGATATGTGCACCCCTATGTTCAGTGCAGCATTATTATAGCCAAGATATGAAAACAACCCAAGTGTCCATCAGGAGATGAATGGATAAAGAAAATGTGGTGTATATACACGATGCAGTATTACTCGGCTTAAAAATGAATGGTCTCGGGCGCCTGGGTGGCTCAGATGGTTGGGCGTCTGCCTTCGGCTCAGGTCATGATCCCAGGGTCCTGGGATCGAGTCCCGCATCGGGCTCCCTGCTCCTTGGGAGCCTGCTTCTCCCTCTGCCTCTCTCTCTGTCTCTGTCTCTCATGAATAAATAAATAAAATCTTTAAAAAAAAAAAAAAAATGAATGGTCTCTTTCCATTTGCAACAACATGGATGGTCCTAGTGGGTACTACGCTAAGTGAAATAAGTCAGAGAGGGACAAATACTATATGATTTTACTTATATGTGGACTCTAAAAAACAAAACAAATGAACTAACAAAACCAAACAGTATTAAATATAAAAAACAAACTGGTGGTTGCCAGAGGGGAGGTGGGTTGGGAAAGGGCAAAACAGATGAAGGGGATGAAGAGATACAAACTTCTAGTTATCCAATTACAGAGATGAAAAGTATGACATAAGGAATATAGTCAATATTGTAATAACTTTGTATGATGATAGATGAGAACTAGACCTGTTATGGGAATCATTTCATAATGTATAAAAATATCAAATCACTATGATGTATACCTGAAACTAATAAGATATTGTATGTCAATTATACTTTAATAAAAATTAACATTTTTTAAAAATGAATAATTTGTTTTTTTAACAGATAATTCCAGATCCAGCTGGAAAACTGAAGTATTTCGATAAACTCAACTAAAAAATACTTCCTCAGGTTTCAGTGCTTGAAAGTTCTCAATAAAGTTCACCGTTTTAGTACCATATTGTGTTACAGTGGTAATTTTTTGAAAAATATAGAACTCCCTAAGGTATTTAGTGTTCAAGTTAAATACTGATGTCAAAAGATAAGCAGTTACTCTCTATCTTCCCAAAGTAAGAAATGTCAGATTGAATCAAACCAGTAACAAGAGTAATATTTGTATAATACATGTCATGTGCCAAGCATTGTGTTAGGTAGATTAGGTGCAGTATTTCATTTAACCCTCAAAGCAAGTCTTTGAGTTCTTTTTTTTTTTTAAAGATTTATCTATTTATTAGAGAGCACACGTGGAGTGGGGGGGTGGATAGTCTCGAGCAGACTCCATGCTGAGCATGGAGCCTGATGCGGGCTCCATCCCATGACCCCAAGATCACAACCTGAGCTGAAACCAAGAGTCAGATGTTTTACTGACTGAGCCACTCAGGCTCCCCAGGCTGTATCTTCTTGATTAATAATTTCCATTCCATTCCATTAATAGTTTTCTAGCCTTTGGTTCAATTTAGGTATGTTTACAAGGAAGACAGTTACGTTCAGGTCTGTTCCAAAAAGCCAGTCATTAATGTTTCATTCAGTATTTATTCAGCGAGTTTTGATCATCTACTCTAAATACCTGGCATTTATCAAGTAACCAAAGATATATTTCTGCCTTCAAGGAGCTTAGTTTTTGATTACTGAGGCAGGTGCTGATAGTGTAGTAATGGGGGGGGGTACCTAAAAAATACATCCTAAGTCACCCCTTTCATATTAACTGGATAATGTAAATAGCCTATGAATAAAATGGCATTAAATGCCCTCCTTCTCAATGCCTTTTATAAACTGTCCCTTTAAACAGTTTACTTCTGAAAGTCCATAGATCCAAAATTATATCCTAAAGATGATCTCATGTGGCCATTTACAGAAGACAGGAAAAGCAGTGTTCAGAAAGGAGAATCCTGTGTCCTACTGGAGAGGGTGGGCCCTGGGCCTGACTGGGGTCAGCTGCAGAAGACCTATTCCCAGAACACGCTGACCTACCGTAATCTAGAGCAGGACTTCTCAACTGGGGACAATTTGCCCCCAGGGGACATGGTAATGTGTACAGATATTTTTGGTTGTCATAACCGTGGGAGTGCTACTGGTGTCTACATTGCACAGGACAGCCCGTACAACAAAGACTTCCCTGGCCCAAGAAGTCCGTCGTGGTAAGGTTCAGAGACCCTTCTCTAGAGACAGCTCCCAAGGACTTAACGGAAAGAAGGCCAGGGTGGCTTGGCAGCTGCTCGCACCGCAGAACAGACTGTGCCCCCACGGCAGCAGCTTCTCCAAAGTAATACATCCAGAGGTAACTTCAAGCTTCTACGAAGTACACTAGGCAATGTCTTTCAGGGCACTGGTACGTAGAGGACATCTATAATTGCCTGCGTCTCCCTCTTCTGCTGACCACTTCCCAGCTAAGCCTTACCAGCGTTCGGAACTTTACAATGATGGTGGCAGACTGCTCTGTCAGGGATTTTAGTCTCCAGAATCTCATGCAAGGACTCCTTCCCCACCCCCATCATTTCTTCTCTGTCCAAGGACATCTCTAATCCTACATCCTAAACTTTCCATCTGTCAGTAAACTTCCAGGTTGTATATTTTATTGTCAAATACATTAACCACTATTTTATTATTTAATGATATTTTGTACCCTAACCCCCCTATCTGATATCATGGAATGGCATCCTTGTATTTTGTTACCCATGAACTTGCAGACAACATGATGTCAATGAAATGTCTCTGATAGAGTCACTAATATATGAACGTGATGAAATGTGTATTTGAGGTAAATAGCTCTACAAAGGTCTCCATGTCAGGGGAGATAATATGTATATATACATACATACATATGCAGACATACACATACACACACTCTTGTAATTAAATTTGTAACTAGCTTTTAAAAGGAAAGAAAATGTTTATCATAGTTACTATATATTTAGCCTTAGATAGCAAAGCAACTTTTACCAATTCCATTATTAACATAATAACACAATTTTGGCATAATGATATACACTTATATAAAATCCTAAAAATATATTTTTAAAGATCCACCTTCCTAAGGCTTAAGCTTATAATTTTTTAAATTAAAATCTAAAGCCAAGTCAAAACCCAAATTTACGGGGCATCTGGTTGGCTCAGTCGTTAAGCATCTGCCTTCGGCTCAGGTCATGATCCCGGGGTCCTGGGATCAAGCCCCGCATCGGGCTGCCTGCTCTGCGGGAAGCCTGCTTCTCCCTCTCCCTCTGCCCCTCCACCTGCTTGTGTTCCCTCTCTCACTGTCTCTCTCTCTGTCAAATAAATAAATAAGATCTTTTTAAAAAACCCAAATTTACCTAAATCATGCATTTGTTCATACAGAAAATATGACCTACACATGTGCAAGGTACTGTGCTGGCGACGTGGATAAGAACACATGAAATAGGGCGCCTGGGTGGCTCAGTCGTTAAGCGTCTGCCTTCGGCTCAGGTCATGGTCCCGGGGTCCTGGGATCGAGTCCCGCATCGGGCTCCCTGCTCAGCAGGAAGCCTGCCTCTCCCTCTCCCACTCCCCCTGCTTGTGTTCCTGCTCTAGCTATCTCTCTCTCTGTCAAATAAATAAATAAAATCTTTAAAAAAAAAAAGAACACATGAAATAATCCCATCAAGAAGCCCACAGTCTCCCAAATGAAAGCATACGAAAAGAGCAGCACAATGTAATACATGCTAAAAAACACCAACACTGGTGGTAGCACTAAGGGGAGCGTGAGCAACTACAAGGAAAGACAGGGATCAGGGAAGGTGTCCCATAGGCAGGGATTTCGCATTTCCTACTCCTCCACTGAAGGCCACACCACCTACAAGTGTACTGTCCTTTAAAAAAAAAAACAGTATTTGTGACCCAAACTGAAGAGACAAAGCACTAACTGGTTTTCCTCTCTCATGCTAATGTACTGGGAGATAGCATGTACTTTAGACTTGATTGGTTAGGGTTAGAGGTGTGTGGCCAAGGTTACATGGAAGTAAAAATTGAATCTCATGGACTTCAAGCTCTGGCCATTTGTACAGCTCCGTCAGGACATCACAAACTGGGTTTACAAGTTTTCTATTAAAGGTAGTAGGCTGCACTGTAACCCAAAGCCCACAAGATGGCACGAGGCAAACCGAAATGACGTAGTAACTTGCTGTGTCCTAGAACCCTGTAAGGCTAAACTGAAAAAGCAATGACTTTCAAATGGTTTTTTGTTATTGTTGTTTTGGGTTTTTTACAACTCTAATTTAAAAACAAAACTTGAGCACTGGGTGTTATGCGCAACTGATGAATCCTTGAACACTACATCTGAAACTAATGATTAGCCAACTATGTTGGCTAATGGAATTTAAATTAAAACAAAAATTCTGACCAATTCAACCTAAGTACAGCTCAAGTAGGCATCTTAATGTGTACTAAGTGTACTCCTTCCATCAATTACCATGACCCAATGAGTACATTTCACAGTGTGACCTAGTACATCCATGAATGTATGCCCCATGAACACGCAGAAGAAGTTTCATGTGATACTTACCATTACTTGGCATGATGCATTGTGGTTTTTTTTTTTTTTTTTTTAAAGATTTTATTTATTTATTTGACAGAGAGAGACACAGAGAGAGAGGGAACACAAGCAGGGGGAGTGGGAGAGGGAGAAGCAGGCTTCCCGCGGAGCAGGGAGCCCGATGCGGGGCTCGATCCCAGGATCCCGGGATCATGACCTGAGCAGAAGGCAGACGCTTAACGACTGAGCCACCCAGGCGCCCCGCATTCTGATCTTTTATTTTTGTAATGTTGGTCACAATCCACTAAATGTCATGACCCACAGTTTAAAAATTAAATAAATAAATAAATAAATAAATACACAGTTTTCTTATAAATATATATGATATAGATATAGGTACATATAAAATCAGGATAAAATAAATGCCTGGTATATCAATACCTTGTCACATGTAACTTTCATTTTACTTCCATTAGGGTTTTTTGTTCATTTGTTTTAGTCTTACTATTCCTTCTATTAAAGGTGTACAATTTCTGTGACACAAACCAAAATATCCTACCCTTTTTTTTTTTGGTTACTCTAATCCTTTCTCTGAGGTATTAATTTCTCAATGCCTCTGGATTACTGAATGGTTTTCAGAAGGGCCTGTTTTATTCTGAGGCTCCATATTTTTTTAGCATACGCATCTTAAATAGAACTTGATTTTTAAGATGATATGCAATATATTCATTAAAACAGTTCACTAACCAAAAAGCTGAATCATGTGAAACAATAGAGGCCTAAATCAGGGGACCGTGGAATGAGGAGAGCACCCCTCCTTTTACAGAGTAGGAAATAGAACTCAAAGACGTGAATCCCCTAGCCCGCTCCCAGAAAAAACCAGTTGCAGACCTATAGGCAAGAGCTCACGGGAACGGACATTCAGGCCAACACTGCTTTACCCACATCACATCACACTGCCTTCCGAAACCCATGCAATGGATGTAGGGACCTCCAAATGCCCCTCAGATTGATCCCCTTGGATCAAAATAATTTTATGACAACAGTTTCATCTGGAAGCAATGTGATGAGTCAAGGCCCTTAAATCCATTTTGAACTTGCTAAATCCTTATTTTTAATTCCTCTTTCCTGTTACCTATTTTACAGTAATTCATTATTTATTGCCGGCGGGGGGGGGGATTCACAAGTCCATTTAGAGAATCAATCACAAATGTAGTAAAAATTTATAAGGGAATTAAATGCCAAAAATATTTCAGCAATCCTCATCTCTCATGGCTGGAGACCTGACTGTATCCTGAGATTATATATTTATATATATATTATTATATGTTATATATAATACAGATACATAAATATAGAATCAGTACTTAAACCTTTATCATAACAGCTGTATGAAATGTGTAAAAGGGCAGGACTCTAGACCAGTTACAGGAGGGCTTTGGGAAGTCACTTTCATCTGCAGAATGTGGGTAACA